CTGTATTCTACTGGTCTCCCTTCTATTTATTTATTGTGTTTTTTTAAGTTGGAGTTTTATAGATAGACTTAAAGTGGAACTCACTGTGGTATATTCATATATGTACAACTCCAGCTTATGTGATTTTTCAAAAAAATTATTATTACTTTTTAACCAGAGAACAGTATAAAAGTTTTATTAAATTTACCTGTACATGAGGATCTTCACAAGAATGAATTCTAAAGAAATGATCAAAGCATAATGCATTTGTGAATATTTTTTCTTTTTTCTAATTTTTATTTATATATGACAGCAGAATGCATTACAATTCTTATTACACATATAGAGCACAATTTTTCATATCTCTGGTTGTATACAAAGTATATTCACACCAATTCGTGTCTTCATACATGTACTTTGGATAAACGTGATCATCATGTTCCACTATCATTTATAACCCCAAGCCCCCTCCCTTTCCCTCAAAAAAATTATTTTTAAAACTGATAAAATACATATAAAATTTACCTCGAGGACTGTGTTGACTGTACAGTTCAGAGGCATTACAATGCTATTCAAACATCATCACTCTGAATCTCCAGGACTCTTTAAAACTGGAAATCTATACTCACTGGAAATAACTCTCCCCTTCCTCTTCTCCCAGCCCCTCACAACCACCTTTCTACTTTCTATTTCTGTGAATTCAGTACTCTACATACCTCATTGCTATTTTGAAACTTAAATATCCTCAAGAGCTCATGTAATAAAGACTTGGTCTCCAGTATGGGGCTATTGGGAGGTGGGGCCCAGGTGACTGTGGCTGTGCCCTTGAAGGGGATTATGGGACCCCAGCCTCCTCTTCTCTTTCACTTCCTGTCCATCAGGTGAGTGACTTTGCTCTGCCTCATGCTCCTCCCATAGGCCTGAAATCAATGGAGCCAACTGGAATCATTGACTGGAAACTCTGAAACTGTGAGCCACAATAAACCTCTTCTCTTTATAATTTAGTTATCTCTGGTACTTGTTTTAGTGACAGGAAGCTGAATAGCACACTCATGTGAGTGGAATGATAATATTTTCTCCGTTGTGACTGGCTTGCTTCCCTTAGCGTCATGTTCTCAAGTTTCTTCCATGATTTAGCATGTCAGGTTTTCCATCCTTTTTTAAGGCTGAATAATCTTCCATTGTATGTATCTATGTACCACATTTTATTTGTCCATTCATTTATTTGTTGATAGCCACTTGGCTATTGAAAATAATGCTGTAATGACTCTGGGTGTTCAAATACCTCTTTACAATCCTGCTTTCAGTTCTTTTGAGTATATGTTCAGCAGCTCATATGATTTTAAAGAAAGAAATCCTGCAATTCCAGCACAAACCCTCCCTAGCTATTATTACTGCCCCCCCTCACTGGGAGGACCCCGAGACTCAGATAAGAACTTACTGACAATCTCACAGAGCTCATTGTTTATTTACAGCCCAACCCATCTGCTCCAAAGGCCATGTTCTTCCTGCTGTAATTTGCTCTCTGTCTCATCATACAGAAAACTATGGAAGATAATCAGTGGGTTCCCGAAACGGATGTGCTAAGGCATAAGGCCACAAATACAATCCCTTTTTAATATCCAAGGGATAAACAGAAAACATAGCGAATGAGGAAATATTGTTCACAAAGTTTTAAACAACACATTTGGAAATTAACCTGGTGTGTTAGTTTCAAGATCTTTTGAAAGAAAATGGTACCATTCTTGTTGGAGAAATAAAAGAAGTGTTAAAAGTTGGGTTTTGTTTCAAGATAGGAATTTTTGAGATGGCAAAGATCCAAGATCTCCTGCAGTTAATTATGCAAATACTTCAAAAACTCGTTAAAATTCCCACAGGAACTGTATACTTAAAAATCCTCCTGGAAAAACAATAGATAAGAACATTGGACTCAGGAAAGGAACATAGACAGAATCAAAGAACTCGACTTCCCAGATAATAAATAGTAAATAAAATATATTATTAAATGACAATCAACAGAACTATGTGATATTGACTTGAGAACAGAAAATTTAACCCATAAAATAAGGCATAGATTCTTGATATATGCCTAAATAAATATGCCAAATTTCTTGAAAACTTATGCCTAAATTTTATGACAGCTATTACCAAGACTAACTAGGAGGAAGAAGACGGGGGAAAAGAAATCATTTTCATTAAATGTCTTTGGAGAAACTGGATGACAAGAACAGCTGGTATTTAATGATACTAACTCTGTGCTGGAGTTATTCTAAGTATCATAATTTATCTAATCCTAACAAGAACTCAGTGAGGCATGTTCTATTATTATCTCAACTTTATAGATGAAGAAACTGAGTTACCAAGAGCTTGTATAAATTTTCTGGAAGACACCAGCAAATTAGGTGGCAGATTCCCCAAAGCAGTCTCAGCTAGGCCCAGCCTCAACCCCCTGTGACAGTGAGTATAACTGTTTAAGCAGTTATACTTCAAAAACCCTACTAAAAAAGAGAAAAGAAAGAAAGAAAGAAAATTATTTAAACGTCTATCTCAAATGTAAGAAGTAGAAATTATCAGTGACAGCGAATTGTTTTTAACTGATTTTACTTTTTGCGATGAGGTCTTGCCATGTTACCCGGGCTGGCCTTAAATTCCTGAACTCAAGTACCCTCCCTCCTGCCTCAGCCTCCCCAGTAGCTGGGACCACAGGTGCACCCCATGGTGCCTGGGGCTTGGCAAGTGATTTGTAAAATACCAGTATAAAAACAAAAATTTTGCTATAGAGAAGTTTGAAATTAGATGAAAGATTGTGAAAAGGCCCAGTTCAATCACCAAATGACTGAAATTAAAAGACTGACGGTACCAAGTGTTGGTGAGAACAGAGGGAGCAACTGGAACTCTCACAGGTGGTTTGTGGGGGTGTAAATTTATTCAACTACTTTGAAAAACTCTGGTGTTACCCATCAAAGCTACACATGCATATACAATATGACCCAGAAATTCTACACTAAAGCAAATACACGAGGGAAATGAGTATGTATGTTTCTCAAAAGACACATGCAAGCTATTGATAGCATTTTAATTTATAATAACCAAGAGTGTATGGGACATCTTTATTCACACTATCCAAAAAAGCTAGAAACAACCCAAACATCCATCAACAGAAGAACGGATAAATGGATTGTGAGAGATTCATACAATGGATTTCTACTCAGCCATAAAGGGAATCAGTGATACACAAGACAAATGAACTTCCCAGATGTTCAGCTGACTGTGAGAAGTCAGACACCAACAAGCTCATCCTGTGTGATCCCATTTGTATGATGTTCAAGAACAGGCAAAGCAATGGAAGGTTTTAAAGGATCAAAACTGTAAGTTCCCATTGGAGGGTGATGTCCTCGGGTGAGACACCCAGGGAATGTTTAGGGTGGTGGAAATGTTCTGTATCTCCACCTGGATGATGCTCCCATGTCCTAGTATGTCATTGTCCTGGAAGTCGTTAGCATGCAGACAGCTGTTGGTGAGGCTGTCAGTGACAAGGATGTGATATTGGGGTCATAGGACAGAGTTCTGGGGATGCCATGTTTTCAGGGCTGGAGCAGAAGGAAAAATCAATAAAGGTGCAGATGGACACATGGAAGAGAAGCCAGGGGTGCTGTGGGGATGCCCAGGAGAAGGGAGCATCAAGGAGGAGGCACCGGCACAGCCTCAGCCTATCTGCAGAAGACAGAATGGAGACATTGCACCTGGAAGCCATTAGCAACCATATTTAAAGTGGATCCCAACTGCCATCAGCAATGAAGTGCTCCAGGAAGGGTCACCTGTCTGTGGGGTGGAATGAGCCCGGGCCTTGCACAGTCTTGGGAGATAACAAAGTTAAGACAGAAGCTAAAGGACCAATATTCGAATGATTGTTTTTTAAGTAAATTATCTTTTAGGATTGGGTGGACTGAGAGTATCTTAAAGTTGATGCAACGGGGGAAAAGAGACAGTGGGAGGTAGAGAAGTCAGAAGTGATTGAGATACAAGAACTTGGAGGCTGCAGGAGAGACAGAAGCAGCACACAGAGAAGGATGGAGAGGGTGAGGGGAAGCAAAGACGGAGATGATGGGACACAGTGAGCCTCTTCAGTGAGCAGGACCTGAAGAAGGTGTCGAGTCCTTTACGGGATGCGCTGGGCATAAAATGTTAATAAAATGTGATGGTAAATTTCAAGGGTCATCTTGACTGGATGGAGGGCTGCCTGGAGAACTGTACAGGTTGCTTCTGGGTGATCCGTGAGAGCGTTTTGAGAGAAGAATGGTGAGCAGGTCAGTGAACCAAGTGAGTAAGAACCGCCCTTAATATGGTTGGACACCAGCCCATCTGCTGGGGTCTGGGTGTGATCACCTGAGATGGAACAAGAAGTGGAAAAGGGGGAAATGCTTACTTCTTCTTTCTGGAGCAGGGCATGTTTCTCCTGCTGCTGCCCTTGAACCCTATGCTCTTCAGCCACTGAATTCTAGGACTTGCACCTGTGGCTTCAGTGGGCTCCCGGGCCTTCAGCCTTGGACATGAGGCTGCACCTTGGGCTCCCTGGCTCTGAGACGTTGGCTTTTCCCAGCTCTCCAGTTTGCAGACATCCATCAGGAACTTTTCAGCCTCTGTGATCTCCAGAAAGGGGAGCCATTCTCCTAATTTATTAGCCAACAAAGATTTATTAACCAAGCTCCTAATAAGCATAGATAATTTATTGACTCTGATTCTTTGGAGAACCTTGATTAATACATAAGGCAAATATGGATATTTGGCATAGATAACTTCCAGGATCCCCAGTAGGTCTCTGAAATACATATAGTACTGAATCAGATACTTGTTATGTTTTTTCCAGTGCATAACACACATACATATGAAAAAGTTTAATGTATAAATTAGGCACATAAGAGGTTAACAGCAATAACTAATAATAATTTTTAAAAATACTGCAATAAGAGTCATTTAATTCTTATGGGTAACTTGTAGAGTTTCCTATTTAATATTTTCAGACTGTGGTTGACTATGAGTAACTGAATCCATGGACAATGGGGACTGTTACATCTGGACAGAGATGAGGCCATTTGGTGCTCACAGTGAGCTTTGAGAAGGACTTACTCTTTGAAGCCATGAATTGCCTCACACCAACTCCCAGGAGAATCTTCCAGGAGCATCTGTTCCTTGGTGAGTCTTTACCCCAGCTGCTGTTCACATGTGGGGACTCTTCTCTGCTATATCCCAGACCTGTGTGTCCCTGCACAGGCCACTAATGTGTGCCTTGTTGTGCCAGGTCCTCCCCATGGTGCAGGCCAAACAAAATCTGCTGCCCAAGGGTCCCTGTGCTGAGTTTGAGTCTGTCCATGTTATCAGTTACCAGACTTTGAGACACAGCAAACTATTGGGCTCTCTAAAGTCACACTTTCCTTCTGTACAAAATCGGGCTCATGTGATCTAATTCAGATATAAGAGCCTACTATTATGTTAATGAATGAGTCCCACAGGTTTGTTGAAATTTGCAGTAAATAGCAATGGCCATAACTAAGATGTGTGCATGTAGAGGCCACCGTGCTCTCTGATATATAGTGTCTCACTCAAACCCCAGCACCCTGGCGCTTGGCTGTTACCAGTATATGAGAAAACTAAGGCCTAAAGATGTCCAGTGACTCCAACATGACTCAGCTAATCAGGAGCCAGGTGATTTTTGTTTTTCCTGTATTTGTGGTCACAATTTTAAATTTTTTTTAAATAAAAGAACAAACATTTTTTTCCAGCAGTAGTTTTCAGAATAAGAGTTACATCCTGTGCAATGAAAATAGGCACTTGAATGTTGTGCAGGTTTTATTACACACAAACAAGCTTGACCCTCCCTGACCCTCCAGGTGGACCGAGGGGCTCCTTTCTAGTGCTCCTGTACACTGGGAAGCCATCTATTCCAGCACCATGTCCCCCAGTGCACACAAAGCTCCCCAAGGCAGTGCCCTGTGCTTCCATCTGTTTCCCAGGAGTTAGCATAGCCCGGCACAATGGAGCTGCCCAATAGTCACTGCTGAGTCAGGGAATCACTCTGGGTTGTTTCAAAATGGTCCAGAGATGGGATGCATTTCTACAAAACTGTACCTATTCTCCTCACAGTTTTGCTGGCCAAGCCTGAAGCTACTTTCACTTGTAACTTGTCTCCTCTTGTTTCTCAATGAACTCAGTAAAGGGCACAATAATTGGTTTGTTTATTAATCAGATATGGTTGATCAGTCCCCATGCACCTGGCGCTGTGCTGGAGATGGGGCCCCTGAAGAGTGGCTGAGCATGAGTGTCTAGGTTGTATATTGCCCAATCCCAGGGCTACATTTCCCTAAGGTGTCTCTGAGTGCTCCAAGCTTGAGGACACAGGAGTCGATCAGACAGAACTCCTCCTGGCCCAGAAAATGTTAGGTGAGGCAGGAGGGTGGGGTTCAACACTCTCAGTACCATGATCCCTAAGTCACCAAATATTGGCCTTTGAGTACCGAGGTGCCTCCTCGGGGAGATTCTTCCCCCAGAGTTTCCCACTTGGCACTAACTTTCGATCCCAGCTGAAGTTCCCCAGATGGATTTCTAGCCGTGGAAATGGAGGTTTCTAATGGAAATCCCTGAAGCCCTTTACTTAGAGCTGCTCTGGTGGGCACCACTCTAATTATTCAATTGCCTAATTCCATTTATCTTTCATGATCCATTATGCACCCCTGACAGGCTGCGTCTTCCTTAGCAGATACATAACCTAGCCTAATGGACTCTGGGTGAAGCCAACTACATAGACTAAGGGATTTTGCTGGTACCTAATTCTCCTAAACTATTATTTTATAAATGAACAAGGCAGACAGACACATTTTCTGCTTTAAGATAAATATTTTATGAATTGCCCCTCTGATACATTACCTTATTAGTACATTATCCTTATCCCTCCCCGAGCTTTGAAGAGCCTGGGCATACACTCAGGAGTACATTTGGGTGATTTTATTGAGCAGGCTGCTTTTATAATCTGTATCTGGGATGGAGGGAGTAAGAAATAATTTTGTCTCATAAAAAGGAAAAGTTTTTTAAATGTTGATTTGCTACTTTAGTGTGAAACTCTTTATCCAAGGACTTTTTGTTTAACCAGAGTGTATAGAGTCTACTAAAAAAAAAAAAATAGTCCTTTTTCCTTCCTGAGCACTCAGGACCACCCAATAGTAAGAAGAGTTTACACAATTCCAGGAGAGAGCTTCTTCCTTATTTTGAGAACAAAAAAGCACCATAAAAATGTCAATCTTTCTTTTTGAATTTCACTTTTTTTAAAAAAAAATGCAGTTTTTTAAAAAAACGCTTGTTTATTTCTTACCAAATAAGCTTGCATTTCTACTCTCCCCAGCCCCAGGAGCATTTTAAGCTATGGTGGGAGTGGGACTAGAGCTGGTGGTGACACTGGTGACTCCAAACACGGACCTTTCAATATCACTGTCCAAACTGTAAAAAGAAACTGGCTTGGGGCTGGGTTGTGGCTCAGTGGCAGAGCACTTGCCTAGCACATGTGAGGCACTGGGTTCGATTCTCAGCACTGCATATAAATAAAAAAAAAAAAAAATAGAGGTACATGAACAACCAAAAAATAAAAAAAGGAAGAAAAAAATGGCTTTAACCCACAATGGTCATTCCCTTGTCCGGAATAAATATTGTGCACATTTCCTCATGTCTGTGAACCAAAAGATGTACACTATTAAAATGATAAAATGCTCTAATCAGTTTTTTTTTTATTTTTTAGCAGGCTTCATTCCATAACCTGAAAGAAAACCAGGGACATGTACTCAATGCTGGAAGACCAAAGTGACTGTTCTGTGATCTCAGCCCACCCGTGGTCAGATAAAGACAAAGATTTGCGACTAGAAGCAAATACGCTAAATTCTAAGGTTTTTACCAGTGAGAAGTAGCCCTCAAGTTTGTTCCAGATATGATGGCAACATATCTGCTTCCAGAAATGAAATCAATCATGACGTTTTTAGGGATTAATTAGAATCAAATTGGTAGAGAACATGGAATAATAACCTTTGATAAAATGCCGCGGGACATTGAAATGGGAGCCATAGGAACCGGGAGGGACAGGTACCTAGTAGTGCATTTGCACAATCTTAGATTCTCCCTGGAGTATGTTTTACCTTTGCCATAAATGAAAACATTTAAATTTCTTTAAAATTACATTTAACTTAATTATACCCGGGCCCTGATACCGGTAAGCCCCCCATTTTGCCTGCTTTTCTTTCGGATGGAAGCGACCGGGCTCATCATTTCATAAAGACTTGTTTTTCTACAGGATGTTCGCTATGTGCAGAATGTTAATAGCCGGCGGAATATGAATAGGCTCTGTGGCTCCACTTGAAATATAGAAAAATGGGCCAGACATTAAAAAAGATAAAAGGGAAAAGGGCAGTAATGAATTTAGAGGAAAATGAACATTAATGGTACTAGCATTACTCATGTTCCACATAACAAATTATTGGAAATCTGTCAAGCACACCAAATTATCTACTCGTCGGCTGCTGCGGGGCCCTCTGCAGCCATCCCAAACCAGCAAAAGCAAGACAATTTAAGCTAATTTTACTATTTATAACAATAGAACAGGCCATTAAGATAAATTAATGTCATTATCAAGTTTCTATGAAAATGACAAATACCACTATTTCGAGCAGCTTAGAGGCTGTTGACTATAATGAAATCCGCTGCACAGGTACTAAAGAGAAACACTCCAAGTAATTATTTTCTAGTAGCCTGTTTGTTTCCTGACCATTCATTTGCTTTCACCACAATTAGTTCTGTACACAATATGGTGGTAACTAAACAGTCAACACTACGCAGCATTAGGACTAATTGGGCCATTAGGACGCAGTTTCTAGCCTTTTCCTTCCTAAAGAGAGCTGGGAGTAAACAGAGCACAGCAACAATGCGGGCACCATGCCGGCGGGGATTGTCTTAATTTAAAGGAGATCCAAACAGGATAATAAACTAGACAGGTGGAAAGCTTTGCATGGAACCCCCTCGGATCAGCCGGACAGTCACAAACTGAACCCTGCTGGAGCGTGTCCCCACACTTGGGGCCACCACACTGGGGGAGACCCAGAAGCAGCAAAACCCTGGGCGTGGGGACCTGCCATGCAGAGGGACCAGGAATTCCTGTCTGGTTCAAACCTGGAAACTCTTCTCCCACTGCCAGAGGCGATAACAAGTCATTCAAAGCCTGGCCATGAAAAACCCCATCTCCCTAATGGGTCTGTGCCGTCCGTGGCTTCTGGGTCATCATCTTAGGACCAAATTATTCAGCAGCTGTCTGCAGAGATGTCAGTTTTTCCTAAGTCAGACATCAATGGGAAAGAATTACCCCTGAAAAATTTGTGCATGATCAATAACAAGAAGAAGCAGTCAGAGAATCATAGTCTCCTGAGGTAGTAAGGTACTGCAGGAAGTAAGCTGTAAATTTTGCACCAGGCAGCAACTGTCCCAGAGCTTTTATATGATTCATTAATAAGGGCTGGGATTCGTTAGGCCCCTCAGGGTGGCTCTCGGTGCTGCCAGGGCCACGCTACCCTCCCTCACAGGGTATGCGAGCAGCAGCTCTGTGTTACCATTTGAAGCTGCCCATTTCGGATTCTCAGGAGATATGAAACACAAGCACCCATGTTTGATCTCCAAAGACCGTGGAGTACATAAGGAGCTAAAACAGCAACAGAATACCAAGAAGAGGCAAATCAAAAATTAAAAAACAAAGGCCCAACGGGGAACAGGTAACTGTGGTGCATGGGAGACACCTCGGCGAGCCACTACGCAAGACCTCAGAGTGGAACCCACTTTATAATGTGAGGTCTGCCCAGGTGCAGAACATGCAGTCAGCTGAAGGGGCTTTAAAGATGGATTCTTCAGGGGGATGACTACGAACAGAGGATCAAAGACCCACCTTTGACTTGCTCACCTGAATCCTCCCCGGCAGCCCCCAGCTCTCTCCCCAGGAGGCTCTCTTGCTCTTCACATTCAGCACCTGCAGACCTGTGTCTGCATAGACCTGTGCACAGCAGGGACAGCAAAATCAGGCTCCTCCAGGAAAAGTCATTTTTCCTGCCTTTGGAGCCTCTGAGGCCCTAAAGAGAAATGAAGCGGCCCTCAGTATCCCCTCAAATCCACACCACAGCCCTGCCTCCAAGTCCCTTCCTGCCTCTGCCATTCCCCGTCACACAGGTCCTCTCGCTCACCCCTGTGACCGCAGCCATATTGCACTCTACGGAAGGCAGGCAGGAGGTCTGCTTTCCTTCTTATCCTCCACAGCACCTAGGACAGAGTTAGCATTCCGTAGATAATTGCTCCTTCACAGAGCAGGGCTGTGGGCTTTCTGACAGTAGTGACCTGGGAAGAGGTAAAACGCAGGCCCCCACGATGCAGGGAGGAGACAGTGGGCTTCCTGAGAATGCTGATCCCCTGCTCTTGTCAGCTTAGGAAGAGCTATTTGAGAAGTGACCCATCTTTGATTCTGCAGCCTCTGCCACTGTGCTATTTGTTGATTCGGAAGCTAAGCATTCTCAAGGACGTGTGTTTGTCCCAACTACACAGATTGGGATACTCAGAGATTCTGGGTGCAGGGCCTGCCTGCCTCTATCCCAGGAGCCTCCTGGGATAACTTCAAAAGTCTCCTGGCTATGTGCCCACCCAGATGGGCCATCCAATTAGTAAAATTACTACTAATGGTTTTTAAAGACAGGGTTTCTGGGCAAAATATATGGTTCAGTAATTATATCTACCATCTAAATGATGATGATCATCATGATAAACCTTAACCCCACAGAGTTCAAAGCACTCTAAATAATTACATTAATTATTCTCAAACTTTCCCCAAGGGGCGGACCATTTCATTAAGCCTGCTTCCAGATGAGGAAGCCGAATGATCCAACGGCCAAAGTCCAGGGAATGGGCTGGAAGCTGCTTCTGCACAAGTAACTCATGAGAATTTCTGCTGAGGGCATGTCTGCTCTTTCATGCATCAGTGCCAAAGGGCCTGGTTGAGCCTTGGTGGCTTCCCCGGGCTGGGGAGGCAGTGATTTTGCCACCTGTGAGCCTTGCAGAGGCCTGGACTTAGGCTGAGTGGAGTGACGGCTTCCCAGGTCCAATCTCAGGGGCAGGCCAAGGAAATCATATGGCACCCGACTTCTTGTGCTCCTATTTAGGCCAAGGTTAAGTGCAGTGCTGCGTTTCATTTCTGAGCTTACTATGAGGCAGGCTTCCTTATGTGAAGAAAATGGAAGATCACACAATTCAAAAACCATGCCCAGACCTTGGTAAGCCTGGTGGATGCAGAGGTGGACTTGGAATTAGTTCCATCTGCTTGAGGGGCTCTGTGCTGTGCTCCCAGGAGCCTTAAGGGTCCTCCTTCAGCAAGTGCAAGTTTACAGAATCCTGGCCCCACCACCTCCCACCCTTTGGCCTTGGACCAGCTTCATATACCTGCTGGGCCTCAGCTTCCCCATCCATGAAATGGGGTTGAACATAACCCTATTTGATCATTGCAAATATTAAGATAAATTAGTTCCCATTCCATAACCAGCACAGAACCTCTTTGACCTCGTCTGGTTGATTTCAAAGCTTCCAGTGCTGCACTAGCCGATTACTGGCTGTAACAACCTCATTCTGCAAAAATCACACTGGCTTTTACAGGTCTTTACGGGAAGGAAATAGGCTAATGCACTGTTTTCCCATGTATGTCAGTAGCCCAATCTCTCTCTAATGGGCTCAAATTGCAGTTTTAAAACCTAAACCATGAACTTAAACTCTCTCACAGACGTGCAGGAGAGGAATCCTTACTTCCTATGCTTCTAGTGCAAAAAAAAAAAAGACAGAGGAAAAACATGTGGCCTGCCTTCCTCTGAACAACAGACTGCATAAAGAGGCGTAGCAAAGTGACTGTGACCTCAATAGAACTTTTCCTGCTAAAAGGTGAGTTGAGAGGGAAATTCGGGAAAACCTCCCGATTTCAGAGTGAGTAACAGGTTTGAAAACTGTCAGTCTCCCCCTTGACATTCTTCGCAAGCCCCCATTCTACCACAAACCCAATCTTGCTGCCTCAAGAAATTTAGAGCAGAGCCTTAGAATAGGGCCAAGGGTCAGGGGCTCCAACTCCGTTCGCTGCAGACAACTGACCTGTACCACCCTCCTGTCTGATCCGGGCTACTTTTTGAACACCTGCCGCCATATTCCTACAGCAGACTCCCAGGCCCTCTGAGCTGCTTGGATTGGTGCTGCTGTTAAGGACATTGCCTTCAATCAACAAATTCTAGCCAAGAAATCGGTACATGTTGCGGAACAGTACATGGGCATCATTTAACCGGAGACCCATAGCGGTTCTATGAGGTAGACTCTACACCCAATTCTATAATTGAGGAAATAGACTTTGATATGGTCAGTTACTTGCCTGGAGTCACACAATTGGTGAGTGGCAGGGACAACACCGTAGCCAGGGCATTTTGACTTCAGAAGTCACACTCTCAATACTGTCCACAGCCTTCATCCTGGCTGGATTCTGGTCCTGCCCTCTGATAGACTGACCTACCCCATTAGCATCCAACACCCATCATGAAAACCACAGATGTATTGGCTAGCGGAGGCAAGAGGAACTCTTATCACCCAAACCATGTACTGTATCATTTTACGTGCTCTCCATGAACAAAATAAACCTTTCTTCTTTGTAGTTGATTATCTCAGGCATTTTGTTACAGTAATAAAAACCCGCTGTCTGCTGTTAAACTATATGCTCCATGGGGACAAGAAGGGCATCCACTTTCCTTATCATTTTATCCTCAGCACAATTGCCTTGTACAAAGATGTGACTAGTTAAAGGTCTGTGAAAAGAATAAATGAGTTACTGAAGAGAGAAAAAACACTGGTTGGGAACACCCATGGAGTCATGGACAGGATTTCTACATTTCCCCTGGTATTTTTCTAACATTATCCAAGAATAGAGCGGTACATAGTTCCCCCTCTTCATGTGGCCAGTGGACTTTCCAGAACAGACTACATAGCACATGATGAGAACCATCCGTGGTCCTTGCTTTCTCATAACAGTGAAAAAGAGGGCACACCAGGTTCCTGTTGGAATCTCAGAACAGGGTCCAGCTGAAATGAGGAGTAGCTTGTTGTGAAGGGAGGTTGCCTGTTGTGTTCCTTCTCTTCTGTTCATTCTATGTCTTCTAAATTTTAGCAA